TGTGTGTGTGTATGTGTGTGTGTGTGTCTATCAGTGTGTGTGTCTATCAGTGTGTCTCTGCTAAGTAAGCCTGAACCCTACTTAAAAGAATACAAAGCATGGCGTAGGTGATTACGCTACCGGACTCGTAATAGTGAAATTGCGAGTTCTGGGGTTCGAGTCGCAGCTTGGTTCGACATTGTGTTATTTAGAAAGGCACTTTACACCAATTTTCCCATTTGACTCTGCAATTTCGGAGATGGACGCTAAATTCGGGGGTCCCGTTTCTTAAATAACCCTACAATGTTGCAAGGACCGTTAAATCTATAAACTATAGAATCTCCCCCCAGGGCGGTGCTGCTGACTGAAGTGTCTTTAGGGCATTACCCCCCCCCCCAAAAAAAAAGGGGGGGGAGGCATTAACATGTTCTTATGCACAGTAGAATTGTAATTGTAAATTGGCTGATTCATCAATGTCAGACTCTGTGCTGTTGAAGCTAGAGACGTGAGCAAAGTAAGCCCGATTCCCTGTAAGGACGTCTCTATTGACATTCACCACTTGGGAAAGAAATTAAACATGTAAAGTGGGCCTACTTTTCACAATTATCAGTTTTGTTTGACTAACTCTTACTGTCATTAAAAACTGGGGCGTCATGTTACGACGTGTCAGTTTTGGCTAACGAAAAAAAAAAGCTCGTTAACAGCGTAATCTATTTCAACTATACTGCTTGAACTGTAGGCCTAGTTCTGAGCCTTTCTAAACGGTCCACTTATGGAGAAACCCCTCATGACATATCAAATTGGAGATTGCTATAAATTATACTAAGTATGCACGTGGTACACTATTGGACACTCTCATACGCACTTTTTAATCTATTTATCAGATGGCGTCAATTTCATAGAAATGGGCAAGGAATAAAAAAAGGATAAAATATTGCTATAAATTATTACCAAACATTGCCTATATCACCGCACACTGCGAGCTGTAGCGGTTAGGTGCTTCATCATAGAATGCAGAAGACTTGAGCTCATTCCTTGTGTGGAAAGAGTTTTTATCGAGTATTTTCGTTTTTCTGCTGGGATGTTGTATTGTATCCCTCTTTCCCCACCCTTCATCCACCAGCGCTACCCCCATCAACCCCCAAAACCCCCACTCACCTCCCATCAACTCACTTCAACCCTCACCCCTATTCACGCACCCACCTCTATTTTTTGTGCCTTTGACCAACCCTTATCCGTAAAATCCTCACAAAAATCGTGTTTTTAAATGGACAAAAGCTATTGAGCAAAAAGTGAAAAATAATTCAATTCGATAAAGATTGCCCACACACGGCAGAAAAAAAAGAAATGAGAGAAATGACTAAAGTTAGTAGGTAAGTAGGATACTAGTTAGGTACACAGGTATGATAATATTGCTGCTGCTGCTGCTCCTGCTGCTGCTACTACTACTACTACTACTACTACTACTACTACTACTACTACTACTACTACT